TTAGGTAGATGTAACTTAGATAAAAACATGTATTAAAATAAAATATCATTCCCTCACTATTAGTGTCATTCCCTCACTTTTTAAATAGTGAAAATAATTAATTTACTTATTAATTAATTTGAAAAATAAATTAAAAAATTAATGAATTAATTTATTAAATTAATTGATTGATTTATTTAATTAATTTATTTATTAAATTATTTCATTATCAATTATTATAAATTAATTAATTATTGATTAATTATTTAAAAATTAATTAATTTAAATATTAAGTATAATTTATAGGATATATACTTTCTTTATAATGCCATTACATATTTCTATTAATATAGAAAGTTTCAGAGCTTTTTATTCACTTTACTTTTTTGGGATTTTATGAACTGAAAAATGACAGTTTTCGTGAGAATGACCCATATATATATAAAATATAATAGCTTTTTAAGTGTAACTGGTGTAAATAGTAGATTGTTGCAATGTTGACGAATTTTTACGCTTAATATAATTTGTGTTGTTTTTTAATCTTTATTTTGATTCTATTGAGGTATTTCAAATATTTTGTCTTATCTTTATTTCTCATTCATTGTTGGTAACGACATCATATTTCAAACATTTTCTTTTTATTCACGTCTGGTTAGTCTTGAAAAGGGGTACCTTTTTATGAGCGCTTGAAAAATTTCGACTCGTATTTGAATTCTACTGAATGAAATTTCATAACCAAGTAGCACAATTAAATTGTATTCTCCATCACGATAGAGTATCGCGAAGCACCACAAATTCACCTGTCACTTGAGACCAAGTGACCAATTAGACCTCTACTCAGGGATTTATTGCAGCGGTCAAACAAACAATATTTAAAATTACACTTAAAACCTATAAAACATTAAAAAGACAGGCAAAATTTCCAGAAATTATAAGAACATGACTGATTTGGTTGGTAACGTCCGGATTTTATTTACGTTGGAATTAGAGCTGCAAGTCGGATTATTGGCGGTAGTTTGGGAAGCATTTTTGAAGATATTTAACTACATGCCCTCAGAATTTTGTTCTTCAGTAGAAAGGATATCTCCCCCATTTTGGTAACCCGACGATGTGCGCAAGAAGTCTCGCGCTTAATAGTAGAACAGTTTAACGAGAACCGACATCACCGATTCTTTTCTCGCTCGATTCTTTTTTTTTATATGAGAACAAATTTTTAATATTTTTTTTTTAAATAAACTATTCATTAGAATTTGTGCATTGTGAAAAAAGGGATTTTAAATATTACAGTATGATAATGTTAGTTGAAAAATTGGTAACTCTATATAGTAAAACATACTAAATATTTAAATCTTTGAGGTAATTTATGCTAATTCTGCTTCTATGTGGGGCCCTTCATGGGCACACTGAGTCCTCAAGATATTGGGAAGCAAGAGAACTTTTGAGGCAATGACTTCGGTCTTCTTTCTTTGTTATCCTACGTACATTTGTATTCGTTATTCATCTTTCTACTTGTACTTTCGTGCCTTGCCATTGGAAATAAAAAGTAAAAGAAAATATGCTAATTTATGAAAACTTTATAATAAAATATGCTAAAATGTTTTTTTTTCAGGAGTCGATGCTGTTTATTCACCGTTGTGTGTTTTGTTAAATTTTTGTTTTGTTTGTTTATCTAATCTGCAGTCTTGGACTCTTCAATGTAAATTTTATGCATTGTCTTGTTTATCGTTGGCATGTTTCCAGACTGCATATTTTGATTTTGTAATTCAATAATATTTTCCAAATGTTCTGAATTGCGCAAAGCAGGAATATTGATGATTAAAATTTTATAATGAATCAAATTACTTTGAAAAAAAAATTTTTTTTTGAAAATTCGTTCTTACTTGTAGATTTACGCAAAATTATTTTCCGAGCTTTAGGATTTCCAATTGCTGAATTGAAAGTGTAACAGTATATTGGAGATCTTCCTGTTATTCCATGCTGAGGTGCTGGAAATAATCTCTTCTCTGGCTTGAAAAAGCTAAATATATAAAATAAAATGTATTAAAATGGACGGATCAAATAGGCAGTGATTCAAAAATAAAACAAAATTGTTCTTGACACGTGCATTAAAAATCTTTTTCAAAAGTGAGGCTAAAAATTACACATATTTGGCGGGTGATAATTAATATGTAAGAGATGAAGAAAAAAACAAATAAAAAATAATCGAGTTTTGAGCATACCATACTTAAAAAAAAGAGTATACAAAACAGCAAAACCTGCCTGATTAAAAGTGGAAATTTTACAGTAACTATAATAATCAGTTTTTAAATTCTGGCTCATTTCTTGGAGACAGAAAAACCTATATATACATACCAAATTATTTTCCACAGATGGTATTATAAATAGTAGCCTATAAACTAAATAAGAAAAATAACTGAACTGATCAAATGAAAAACTATGTTTCGCAAAGTTTATTCATTAATTTGGTAACACTGTATTACTCACTCGCAGGTTTTCCTCTCGCTTCCTGTGATTTCAAAACAGGAATAAAACATACTTTCTGTGTGGGATACAATTTTAGCTATGTTCCAAATATCCTTAGTGAAGAGTCCTCCGCTAAGATCTGTACAGTTCTGTTTAAAGAAAATTTGGAATTTCGATTAAGAAATATATATATATATAAGTTCAAAATGAAGATAAAACAAAGGAAAATTACAGACACATGAAAAAAGGAGGAAATCCATTTCGGGCAAGTCCATGGCTAAAATTATGTGCAAAACAGGCAATTCATGCTTCTTTCTCTCTTCTATTTTATATTTTTTTCTTGAATAAATATTTCTTTTCTAAAATTATTTATAGTCAACTTCTTTATACTATCCAGTATAATATTACCTTGCGCACTCCCATTTTCGGGCCCATCCTTGGTATCTAACAAATCTAACGCACTTCAGTAATGCAGTAGGAACGCACTTTAAAACAAAACTCCTCTAGTTACGCTCAATTTGCACTTTTGTCTTCATATTTTGCAATCTGACAATCTTGTTACAAAAATATTTTAAATCATTCTTGAAAAATTTCGCATTCATGTAAGTTCATTTGATTTCGCTATTCGCTTTATAGATTATGTTTTATTCTGTTTTTTCTTTATATTTTATTTTCTGTTTTTACGTGTTATTTTTACTTATTGTGTTCTATTTTATTTGTTGTAATNAAGATGAGTATATTATTAAATTTTTCTTTTGTTCAATCGTGCCAGCCAATTTTATTTCCCAAACCTGTAAAAACTAGTATGTTATCATTTTCAAACTTTAGGTAGATGTAACTTAGATAAAAACATGTAATAAATTAAAATATCATTCCCTCACTATTAGTGTCAGTCCCTCACTTTTTAAATAGTGAAAATAATTAATTTACTNAAGATTATATCTTTTATTTTCCGGAATTTTTAAAAAAAATTTATCCTTTTTTTCTTTCGGATTTTTTTTTTCATTTTTATTTTTTTCCTTAAGTTTTTTGTTATTTTTATTATTATTTTTCCTTTTCCCCCTTTTTTTCATATGTCTGTAATTTTCCTTTGCTTTATCTTCATTTTGAACTCATATTATGAGCTCTATTTACGCGCAATAAATAAAATTTATTGTTTTTAATAATTTTCTTCCTGTTTTTTTGTATTTATTCATTTTGCTATATNGATTTTATGAACTGAAAAATGACAGTTTTCGTGAGAATGACCCATATATATATAAAATATAATAGCTTTTTAAGTGTAACTGGTGTAAATAGTAGATTGTTGCAATGTTGACGAATTTTTACGCTTCTCATAAACGAATCAATACTATTTATCCATTAAAACTGAGCAGTTTGAGAGAAGTTATAAGAGTTTTCAAGTTTATTAACATAAATTTTTTTCACCTAAATTAATGTATATGTTACCTGTTAAAACTGCATCATTTACCTTTAATTAAAGTACATCATTGGTTTCAATAATAGCAAGGCGATTTTTTGCGTTTCTCCTAAACGAACTTGGTTTTTTTATTATATGTATACATTTTCTATTCCGAATATGTATACATTCGATTTCGATTATGCATACATTTTCCATTAACAAAAATTTATCAAACATCATCGGTGTCAAAATCACCATTCTATAACGTATGGAGATTTTTTAAAGTTTCTTTGAAGTGAATAAGTACCATTTCTCAATTATGTTTGCACTTCAGTACATAACTTCTTTTTAATTTCAAGAACGATTTTTTTAATTAAATACAAAGAGGCATAACGATAAACGCATGAAAGCTTAACTATAAACAAAACATAGATTCAAGTATCTTTTTGAGCAAAAATTTTGGGGATTTTTGATCACTGATTTTATATA